GTAAGAAATTTCGAGAAGTCACCAATCTTTGCTACCGTTCGGTGACATTTTGGTTCGGTCCCTGTATAACTGTAATTTATACTGTAATTGATCCTTATATATAACTAACCGTATCTGCCTTCCAATAATTTCGGAAGATACTAGAGATTTCTTGGCGGCCGGGGAAAGCTATAGAAGACCGAAGAAAACATCAATTCTCAGAGCTGTCTTTGGAGTAATGAGATCTCCATGCAAGCCTAGCCTTTTAGATACACTTTGCATTGCAATGTGTTTAAAGAGGTTTCACACATGGCTACAGTCCCTGCTAGACAGGACTTTTCTGAGAAACGAGATTCGGGTAGCACTGGTTTAAACGGGAGGATTCCTAGAAAAAAGAGCTTCGCCTGAAGCGAAGTCCCTCCTACCTACGGAAAAATGTTGCGACTATGCGGTATGTTTTCAAACCTCACCCGAAAATGTCTCGGGTCCCGGGTAGAGACAACCAATCAGACAAAAGTTCTGCTTCTGAAGGATCACGTGATCCCAATTTGAGCGATAATCAATTACTGTTTGGCGTTTAAGTCTTTGTAGTAAGTGAAAATGGTAACCTAGCTACGTGTGTTTCCTGGAATTGCACGGGTTCTGAGAATTGTCCCTTTCGACGTCAAGTCCCGCGTAGTCGAAACATAATGTGATTGGGACCTAACGTTCTTAATAGTCTGAAGGATCACTACTGGTTGTACTCTGGGACACTGGGAAGAGCTAACTAAATATAGGCTTTCCTGCCTCGTTAGACTGAATAACATTACAGGTCCACTCCCCTTTAGGACAAGTCGCAGAGGCTCAACCTCCGCTATTGTCCCTCCAGGAGAGCAGCGCAACACCTGGCTTTTGCCAGGCAGCACTGTTCGCTTGATTTGCTACCTGCCAGTCGCTCGGGCTGCCCGTCGCAGTGGGTCATTACCCAGAGAACCGGGGGCGCTACCGCTCAGGACTTGCCAGACTCCAGGTCCGGCCAATAAATGACCTTTCCCAGGGCCTTCAGAACCACCAAGTTCATAAATTTTATACCCCCGTGGCTGAGACTGCCTGGGTACAGATCCTAGCAGTAGCTTCGCAGAATTCTCTATGTCGACCCCCGGGAGGGGGTACTGGGAAGAGCTGTACGAGTTTTGTAGAAAGTTCCAGAACTATGAAATGTTTCTTTGTGTAAAAATTAATTTTATGAAGGTATCATCTGTTCTGTGCGCATTCAATCTATTACGAACCGGTACGCACTTAACAATGTATATATTCTGTTCATTATTCTATGGCATTCATTGTTCTATATAATGCCCCTAGGTATTAAATATACATTTTTTAGACTTTTTTTCTATAGGACACTATTTTTTATATTCTGTCAGTAACATACACATTTAACTCTTGATTTTAACTGGCCGCCCCACCAACGATAAACGAGAGGTAAAATCGCTGAACACTGGTAGTTCCGACCTGGGTTCGAATGGGGTGGTTGCATGGGCATTTTCGTGGTTTTCCGCATGTGTAACATATGTATGAGCTAGTTTCCCTTCGAAAGTCCTTCACGAAGGCATCCCTATCCTTAGACAGATAGCCCTATTGGGCTTTGTCATAATAAACTAAAGCAAATCAAACCAAACCTGATTATAATTGCGCAGATTATCCTATTATGTCACTGATTACCCATAAATCATTCTCCAATGAACTTCCCAGGCAGGTATTGCAGAAGATGGATAAATTGTGATGCTTTAGCAGATTTTTTTAAATACACTATACATCAATGATCTGGAATGAAGCATCTGACAAAGTAAATTAAGAATTTTCTTTGGAAATGAGTAAAGTAAACTAGGCCTGGGAGAAATTATTTTTGCAGAAAATGCTTCCAGTCCCTAAGCTAGTGATAGTTTTAAAAAAAATTTCTTAATAATATCACTAAAAAGGGCAAATAGTCTGTAATATTTGTGAAAAGGCAGATTTTTTTAATTATCTACCAACAACTTATCTAAACAGCAAAATTTCGATAACGCAGTTACCAAAATATGTAACAAAACGTGGTTCCTTCGTAAGGTTTTATTATAAATTTAATTTTATCAATACTCATCATTGTGCCTCTGGCGACATAAAATCTCCAAATTATTATATAATTGAATATCCTTTAACAAAACAATATCTTATTAATTCTTTATTAAACAAAAATAGCATTATCTTAAAAGTTATGCCATTATGAATCTACTTTCTGCATTAAGAAAATATACTTGTCAACCGGTTCAAAGATATAAATATAATAGCAACATATCTCTTTTTACTTCCTTGTACGAAGTAAAAAGGATGTATTGTAATCGCGAAAGTTTCAGGCAGCATATTTCAACAAAAATATCCATTTTGACCGCTATCGAATGCAATTTAACGATGTTTTTGCGTGATATCTGTACGCAAGAACAGAATAAAATACTCTTTGATACAAAAGAAAATTTTGCTTATTACAATTTATTTATTTATTACAATTATCATTTAAAATATTAAAATTATTTATTTTTATAACAATTTACAATTATCATTGTAAAATAAATTACAATAATGTTATTATAATTACCATTATTATAAAATAGAAATTTTAAATGATTGTTACAATTTTATTACAATTATCAGTCATAATTTAAAACTATCATTTAAAATATTTAAAACACTTTGTGCTCATATTGTATGTACTCATATTTCTCTTAATTAACTGTCTGTCATTGCTAATGGTTAACATCCATAACCAGATAATTTTACCCTTTCTATTCCTTGATTAAACATTGTACCAATATATGGTGTCATTTATCTTATAATTTTCTTTATAAACGTTTTCTGTTGTTACTTGTCTTATTTTTATTGCATTTAAAAGCAAGTCGCAGGGACTGATTTTTTAGTCCAGCGTCTGAGCAGTAAAGTCACTCAACGTTGGTAGTTCGGTTCGAATACTGGCGAACAGGCTGGCTGCATGGATGTTTTCGTGTTTTTCCTCGCATATAACATGTATACCGGACATTTTCTCTTAGAAAGTCATCCATAAAGGCATCCCTCTCATTAAGAAGATAGCCTTGAGTGCTTTGAGTTATAAAACTGACGAAATGAGTGATGCCGTCGGTGGGATTCGAACTCCGGTCCTTCCAGTTGCCAGCCGGACATGTTTTTCAATTACACCACACAGACATATGGAAGAAAGATAAACCTTAAAAGTTTTTGAAATTTCTGTATGTGTGAGAGAAAAAGAATTTAATTCATAATTTTTCTAAATGCTCTGTTGATTATCTTTTCTCTTTATTTGAATTCATATGGCATAACTGTAAGCATTAAATACTCACAAAAATTCTCTTTCTGTAAAATTTGAGTTGGTTATAATGTCTAAGAATCACTTACACATCATCAATTATATAATTTTTGACCCTTTCTTTATTGAATAAATTTTAGTTGTGCATTTGAGGCAATTATTCCTAAGAAATTAAAATGTTAGAATTACTTAGGGAAAATAAAAGCATAACTACAGTTATTAACATGGCATTCTGCATATATTAATATTCTTTACATATTAAATATTAATTAAACTGCCTGAAACCACTCTAAAAATCTGCATGCATCTTCTACATAAGAAAGTCGCATTAGGTGCGATGACAATAACTTGTATTATACACTAAATGTCCGAAACTCTACACACATTTTCTGAAGATAAAATTTACTGAATGGATTATGGAAACCATAGATGAGTAAATAGTGTAAAACTCTGTTGGTGGCACAAGAAATGGAAAATGACAAGGAAAAAAACAATATTATTTGGCGTAAGGCTACGCAGCTTTATTGGATTTATTACTAGCCCAAAGGGGAATTTCCCAGAAGGGCTATTAATTTCGTTTTAACATTTTGTATCGGCCACTATAAAACGGTGTTTCACTTTTGAAATTGTTGCCACCAAATACTAGAGCCCTGCATTATATTTAAAGAAATTAAATAATGAAGAATCTGCATGAATGTGTGCATCATTTTCGCACAGTGAGAAAGCAACGGCACCTACAGCCATGCAATTCTGAATAATGTAGTTCTCCGCTAGAATTTTTTCTTAATTAAAATTCCACTAAAAAGATCTCCACTAAACTTGTTTTATTATCTATTTCATATTTTGTAAAACTTAAACCAATTTTTGATTAACATACTCAAGACTGTACCGAAAAAAACATTTTTATTTTTATCATTTTAACGCACGTGAGATTGTGTATCAGAAATTCTAAAGATATGCTCTTCTTAAATTACTTTGCGATAGTGCTGTTGAATTGAATGTTATGGTTTTGGTTCGAAGAACATGATATTTAATAAATAAAGGTAACGCACAAAAAGTTTTAAAAAAATGATTTTTTGGGTGTAATATAAAATCTAAAAGCTTTCAGATTTTTTAAAAAACTGTTATTTATTTATTTGAGGAATTTACAAAGCATACTAGTCACAAAGCAGTGAAGAAGTAAATATATTATGCCATGAAGACTGTAATACAGAGAATTCCACTACACAAAATGATTGAAAACGATAAAATATGAATATTAAGAACTTATTACCTAATATATTTTCAGTCATAAATATATTTCTCCATATTTTATGTATCTTATTTTATATATAGTCTATGTTTCTTTATATTATTAAATATATTTATATATATTTTATTATTAAATATATTATATATATTATTATTAAATATATAATTATATTTAATGATATAATTTATTAAATTGTTAAATGTTAATTATTGACTGTATGAAATATTTTGAAGTATTTTTAAATCATCGGATTATCGAAATTTTACTATATTTCTTTAGTTTCATTGTTAAGTGTTCAATCAGTGCAATTAACATCAGACCTTTTCTTTCTCTATTTTGAAGTCCAAATTTCGAGTATACATTTTTTTTATTTTTTAACTTTTAAAAAAATTTTAAATTCTTATCTGATAAAATTTTGCTTATAATTAACTTTACCAGGTAAAACAAAGTCCTCTTGAAAATATTCTAATTGGAGGGATAACAATAGGAGTTCTTTTCTTGCCTCTCTTAGTAAGTATAGCTACTTATTTATAACTGCGATTTGAAATACTGAAGAATAATATATTTATGCGCATTTATTATATTATTTATGTTATTATATATTTCTCTCCATATAAAAACATGTGAAAAATAATAATAAAAAATAACGAATTGTTTAAAATAATATATAAGAAACAAACGAGATGAAACTGGCAACTAAAACACACTTTTCACTTTTTTGTACAAAGTAAAGGAAATATTGTAAACTCGGAAAATTTCGGATATCATATTTCATCGCCATTCTGACCGCTCTCGAATCCATTTGAACGATTCCTTTGCGCAATGTCTGTACATACAGACAGAATAAAGGATTCTTTTTTCAAAATTGATTGTAAAATGGATTTAAATGAATTCAGAACAGATTTTTTCATGGTGGCTGTACGAATGTACATATGTATCTCGCATAACTCAAAAGCAAGTAGCCGTAGAAAGTTGAAAATTTGTATATGGGACTGCTATGTTGTGCACTCTTTTTTGCAATTGGCCACACCAAACGCATATGTGCATATATTCCCATCTGTTACCCAGCTTGGTAAGTTCAGTTTTTTTTTTTTTTTTTTTTTTTTTTTAAATTCTTACATGTTGGTAAATTATGCATTTTTTGCTTAAAAGTGATTGAATTATGTTGTTCTTATGTTAAAGTTTTTCTGCTTTCGGTTAATCTGCATGCAATAGTTTTAGAATTTTCAACAGTTTAAAAGTTTAAAGGTCGCTAGGCCTAATGTAGAGGCTATTTGTTTACATCTGAAGCTCTCACTAGTATAGTGAATTAAGTCAGTTAGTGCACCAACTTCGGTGTCTTTTTGACCAGTGGGACCAGAAGTTAACTTAAAATGTTTGTGCAGTGAAAATTTTGTCTTTCCATCCATTGGCCATATTGATTGTTTTGGAGTAAAAACTAATTTTAATTACAAAAATTGTTTTCTTTAAATATTTTTAACTGTATTTGTTGTGTTAGATTATTCTGTATTTTAAATTCTTATCGTTGAAATATGATACCCGAAATTTTTCGCGTTTACAATAATTCCTTTACTTTGTACAAAAATGTAAAAAGTGTATTTTAGTTGCCAGTTTCATCTCATTTGTTTCTTATACATTATTTTAAACAATTCATTATTTTTTGTTATTATTTTCCACATATTTTTAATGAAGATGTTTTGAGTTTTTATGTATTTTTGCCTTGCCGCAAAGTAAGAAGCGAATTGATTGAATGAGAAGTATGTCTCAAATGAAAGCTAAGGAAACAAATTTAAATGAAGTGCAGCAGAAAAAACTGTACAATTTAATAGGACAAGAAAATCATGTGGTGTGTATATCGGATATTTTTTAATGCACAGATTTTTAAATTATGTCTATCAAGCACAAAAAGGTTAAAAATATTTACCCTTCATAAATTAAAAATATTACAGGTACATTTATATCATTGCCAGCTAAGGGCTCACCGATATTTCTAATAACTGTGCCAAGTAAAGAGGAAGGAACTGATTCTTAATATAGTTCTACAAAAAGGTAAACAGCTATAAATTAGTTTATTCAAGGAGTGAAATCAGAGCAACATGCATAAAATTTCAGAGCTAGTTTCGATGGTCTGAATAGCCTGATTTCCTTCCTGTCATTCTTATTGCATGAGCTCTGGCTTCTCTTTCGTCATTTGTAGCTCTGCAGCTGAAGAAGATATTTAAACCTTCGAAACTAGTCCTGCAATTTTATGAATATTACGCTGATTCATGCTTCTTTAAATCCTCCAATAATCGTTATTCAGTGTGTTAACTCAAATTTGATTAGATACACTCCCAGATTCTCCTTGACACTCCAAGAATATCACAGATCACCAAAAACACTCACAGAGGAAATGCTAAAGCACTAGCTCAGCAGGTGCTCATTACAGATTTTCAATGAATAACAGAACATACTGATTTTTGGTTCCAATGCAACAGATACATAAAAGATAACCTTTGTTGCCAAGCAGATATATATCTGTTGCGAAGCAGATAGCCAGAGCACTCCCAGAACCTTTTGAAAAATCCTTCCTATGGCCTCTGAAAACATATTTGCTCGATACCTTCAGAAATGACTACATATCTTCTGTAACTTGGTGACTCAAATTGTTTTCAAACATAGCAAGAGGATTTAAATACACTTCCCGAGATTGAAAATGCAACACCAAGAAGGAATGGCCAAAAAGTGATGAAACTCGCCAGACAGAGAGACAGCAACGAACAATAAGCGATCTTTATTTCAAAATGATATGCACAATACAGAGCGAGAACAGCATTTCAGTAAGTTGTAGGACCACCTTAGGCGGCGATATACGAAGGTATAGATATAGAGTCTACATGAAGGTATATACATCTAGGTATAGAGTCAATGAGACTACGGATTGTGTCCAGAGGAATGGCTTCAACCAATTACCTCCATTAATCTTCTGAACGCAACAATTGCAGGGTCTGCAAATGGCGTCCAATCACGTCCAAATGTATTCAATTGGTGAGAGATCAGGAGAGAACGGTGGCCAAGGAATCATCTGTTAACGTTGCACAGCACATTGGCTGATCCGCGCAGTGGTGTGGTCGTACGTTATCCTGCTGATAAAGGGCATTGGGCACTCCCTGAAGCTAGGGAGTGTTACCGGCCACAACACATCATCCACGTATCAATGGGCCATCATAGTGACGAAGTAGACGTGACCTCGAATCATATACAATTGTGCACCCAAACCATGATGCTTCGCTCATGAGCAGTAGAGCGTTCCACAATTGCTGCAGGATTGGACCATTGCGGATTGGCGTCTATGATGGCAGTCAATGGCAGTGTTCTTAATGGACACCATGAGTGCAGGCCAGAGCCACCAGTCAACAGCAAATGGTTCTGATCAATACAGGAACATCCAGGGTGTCTTGAACATGCTGCACAATGGAGGTAGAAGTAGCTTGCAGGGTGCGCTACCGTTTGTCATCGAAGGCGTAAATCCAGGGTCTAGGACTTTTCACCGTCACCATTTCACCATGGCTGTTTCTCCGTCAAGACATATTTTTCTCTACATCTTGCCATATTATTACCCTCGTATTAAATTTATTTAGTTTAATAATTCTGTTTATCCTTTAGATACTTAATAAAGGCTGCTTTTAATATATATGTATATAGTTATTTACAAGTATGAGATATAAAGAAATTGCACATAGTTGGGAAATTACGTCAGTATCAAAGAGAACCGGGACCAAACTTCCGATACAACGGAAGTTATATTATCGATTTTAAAATTATGCGAATACAATATTTACATGATTCATTCAAAGTTTCTTGAAATTTTAATCGGCAAATTCAGAGAAATCACTCATGCAAGCAGAAAATTCCCATTTCTATGAAATCTGAATGGAAAACAGAATTGCTTTGAAATCTTGTCGGCACCTTACTCTCTCAATATTAATATCTCATGTAATGGTGTATTTGTATAAAACTGTACACAAAAACATTTTATGTATTATTTTATATAAAATGTTTATCAAATTAAATTACTGCACTGAACAAAGTTATTAGTTTAAATCAACTTAAAGGCAAGATATAATACAGTCGTGTAAAGAAAAATATGTCTTAATGGCGAAACGGGCTGGCGGTGAAATGGCCACGGCAAATAATCCCATTCCATCAATCCACGCGTGCTGACGTTGCTCACTCGGCAAGGAGATGTGGCACCCCTCGAACTTGCCACATCTCCTTGTTCCAACCACAGCCGGTGCATTGTAGACGCGTCCAGGTGTAACTGAGATTTACGTATGGATCAAACTGCCCTTCTCAGTCCGATCACCATGCCCCTCGTAAAATCGTCTGTCTGCTGGAACTGCCTCTGTTAATGACGGCCTGGCATTTTCTGCTATTATACGTGCCCTCTGAGAGAAGAACAAATATTCTATGATAATTTTCCTAGCAGAAATAACTGCACAAAAATTTAACATTCTGTAGGTTCCTTCCCTTATATCTTCTTCAACGTGCACTGGAGAGCTGTGCATTCGCATAACTCGGTGACGTGCGTCTGTCTACTCCTGAAATTTTCAGGCCACTCCTTATGCATTTTTGACTTGCCGCGAAACGAGAAATGATTTCAATGAATGAGAAATCTATCTCTAATGAAATTCAAAGAAATAAGTTTAAATGAAATGCAGCAAAAAATGCATGTAGTTTAATATTCCATGCAGGGAAATCATGCAGTGTCCACATCAGATTTTTTATTTTATCAATTACATTAATATGAAACGAAGCAATGAGTAGTGATGTGCACTGAAAATTTTAAGAAAGGACTCGCAGAAAAAATTAACAAATTCTAACTAAATACGTTTTACAAAAACAGTTTATACAAATAATTATGCAGAACAGTTATTTGTTCTGTCCAGCGAAGGGAGCGAATGGTAAGTCGCTGAAAACTGGTAGTTCGGTCGGGTGTTCAAATCCTGGCGAACAGGCTGGCTGTATGGGTGCTTTCATAGTTTTCCCCATGCGAGCCCGTTTTCCTTCGAAAATCCTCCACAAAGGCAGCCCTTCCATTACGCAAATAGCCCTCGAGTGCTTTGCCATAATTAAATTAACCAGATCAAACTATAAGAAAGTGTTTTAAAATAAGGAGATTTAAAATAAGGCATCTTTAAATTAAAGAAAATAATAATAAAATTACAGGGATTTCATAAATGAACAAGTAAATTTCATTATGTAACACTATTAATATGGCCACACTACTTAAGATTACATCATGAACACAATGCACTTTCTTTCTATACACTGGCTTAGCTGGACTCCTGCATGCTGCTCTCTTGGTATTGCCAATCTATCAAAAATATAAATATTTTGAAATAGGCACAAGTGGAGTGCCAAGTGCCACCCATCCGGTCTCCGGTCTAGTAGTTAGCATTACCGACTGCCCTGCCTGGTTTTGAATCACATAGAAGGCATGGATGTTTATAAATAGTGTCTGTGTGGCATGGGAGCACTCTAAATATGCAGCCAAAGTCCTCTCCAGAGGTTGATGGTAGGGGCTGAGGGGTGGGTGATCCGCAGACCCGTGCCTTTAGCGTCTATCAAAATTAGTGCAGTAACTAAGCTAAATACAGTTAATTGTTTCTAGAATAATTTTTCATCTATATATATCTTTCAGATGTGCTTAATGAAATTGGTTTGAATGGCTTGAAATGTTTTCATACTGGGAGTAAATATTCTCCATTAAATCAAATATTAGTTATTTTATTTTAAAAACCATTAATGTTTTCCCACTTTTTTTTTTCCAATCATAGATGTACTCTACGCTTATAGTTATATCCCAGTTTGAGGAACTATTCAACAGACCTGATAAAAGTAAGTACGCTTTTATTTATTACATTTCCCCCAACAATATACTTTATATTAATCATGGAAATTACCTTTACACATCTCGCTTCAGTTCCCCTGCAGAAACGAAAAAGTAGCAAGTCTCTTCTGTGTGCACAAAGCATGGATTCATCGGGAAGTTCAGAGACAAGCACTGGAACACTAGTCTAATGCCATTTGAAGCAAATAATCATATAGTTCAGCATCCTTACATTCTCAAAATATACAGAATAACATTTATTGTTGGATATTAAAATAATTCCAGAGAAAATTTACAAATAAATATATATTTTTAACAAACTATGCTTTATTCCTTGATTTATCTTAGACTGTCTTCTCAATTTCTAATTCAAATTATCATATGGAAAAGGTGACATTTTGAGCCATTTTTAATTATCTTAACTTGTAAATTCAAGAAAAAATTATACTTATTACTTCTTTCTATGAAGTAAATTATGTTTTGTAATCATGAAAAATTTAGGGTATCATATTTTGAAGAAAATGCCCATTTTGATCCTTCCTGAATCCATTTGGCTGATCCCCCCCCCTCATGATGGCTGCACATACACACACACTGAACACAGAATTAACAACTCTTTTCTCCAAATCGGATTGTAAACTGGATTCAATCCCCCCCCCTGATGTCTGTATGTGTATAAATATACATAGAAAGAGAGATCACAAAATTGTTTTGGTCTTTGTGTAAAATAGGTTTTAAATTTCTTACTTTTTGCCTCTTTCTCTCTATATATAAACACCCCTTTACACAGCTTAAAAGTACTTACCCGGCCTTTATTTTTGCAATCACCGGTCGTATTCATATGCTTACAATCACAGAAGTATTTTAAATGACAAAAATATTCATGTTTTGGTCAATTAAAAAAGACAAGTGACAAGTAATGAAATCTAACTTTGAATGCGATCTCCTTTTCCCATAGGACAAAATTGACCGGTATATTTAATTTCAAAATTTTTAATTCATTTTCAACTTGTCTCGAAAGATCGCTTCCTTAAGTTAGAATAATTCGAGGAAATAAGTTTAAATGAAGCGCATAAAAAAAGATGTGTATAACTTAATAGGCCATACAAGGAAGTCATACAATGTCCACATCAGATTTTTTTAAAAAATTAATATCTCTTGAGAAAATGCATTCAAGTTAAAATGAAAATCATTTCATGAATGGTAATATGTCCCATTTTCCAGTTTACAGACAGTGAACATCCTCTAGTGAGAAGTGGAAATGCAAGAAGCGCACAGTATTGTTACTTATTGCTAAAATAAAATATTACAAGATCAAAAGATTTATGTGGTGAAATTGTGGAACCCGTCTAATTTAGGGCTCCAGTGGACTCCGGTTAAATTATGATTTACCTTTTATGAACTGAGAAGTACCCAAAGCCAAGCTCTGGAGCAGTTTAAGCACAGATGAAGAATTCTTTTACAATAATCACATACATAAAATAAATATTTTACTCAAAATAAGATGCAGGCTCAAAATAGTTCAATATTAAAAATACAGTAAGACTGATCTTTCTTTTCCATATTTCTCTTGCCTTATATAAAGAACCACAATTTAATTTAAATTTTGAATAGAAATTTCAACAACTAACTATAAACCTAAAAGAGAAAATGCAGTTTATGTTATCTTGAGGTAAAAGTAAATATATATTGTATAGTATTTTAATGCTCCTCTGATCATACAGTGGCCAGGTGACCCCACTGTGATACCACAGGACCTGGGTTCAAATCCCAGAGAAAGCATGCTTACAATTGTTCTCCCTTCGTAGGAGGCAACACTGGTTGCCTCTTAGGTGCCTCCACAATAAAAGGGCCACCACTTCTGTCCTCTCAAAGTTGCCAGAGTCAAAAAGGGAAATACCTGGCTGTTGGGAAAAAGAAACTTTTTCTTTAATATCTATAATTTAAGAGCAACATTTGGATATCTGATATAAACGCAAAGTTTGAACATCTGAGGCCAAATTTTTTTAAACAGTTCTAAAAAAGTATGCAGAATAATTTCTTCCTCATGTAAAATTTTACAGTTTTAAGACCACCATATTTAAATTTGCTCGAGCAAGTTTAAAGGTGCTTTAGTAATGCGAGTTTTTCCAGCTAGCCGTGACAGTGAGAGTAACTCACATTGTTAAATACAATTGGATTAGTATCACATTACTGAATATTATTAGGTGGAATCGTGTTGCATATTTTAGACATTCTATCATATTTATGATCATATCTCTCTTTTGACTATTGCATGCTGATAGTTCGACATACATTCAAAGTACAAAAATGCATTAATTGCATGATGTTTTCATGAATTTTAAATTGAAAGTAAGAGGCAGTTTTTCTTGAAACGTTCTCCACGAAGTTATCCTTTTGCTAGGCGATACCATATGCATAGATTTTTCATATGTTTTATAATTGCATATTATTTTATTAAAACATTTTTCAATTTACGTTTTTTTTAAACCAACGGCGGGCCCTCAGCCGACTTCGGTGTGGCCACTACTAAGGCAAAAAATGGTGGTCACTTTATTATGGAAGCATCTAGTAGATGGGCCACCTTTGCCTCCCATGAAGGGACAGACAGTTCAACCATGTATTTTCCGGGATTTGAACCCGGGCCCTTTGGTATTGCAGTCAGCTCCCCTAACCAATATAAGGTCTGGGCGGCATTTTAATAGAAAGCATAATTATACACTTATTATAATTAGTAAAAATTCGACATACCACCTGAATTACTTTCTGTTATCAATGCCATCAGACAGTAGGTTGTATTTGTTTGCAGGATATTATGGAATGAAGGTAAATGAAAAAGTCTCAAAACTATAATCACACTCGAAAACTGATAGACATTGGGATAAAATTGTATTAAATCTCACTTGTTATAGTAGGCATCGTAAGTTGTTTCCTAACGTGTCGATGTTGTTTCATTGTCCACACTAAGCTCCTGCAAATTCATCTGAATCATGCACATAATCGAGAAGGCACATACAAAATGTTATTCACAGTTTTCATTAAAAAAAAGCCATCGAGATCATCTGCAGAAATTTTTTAAATAAATATTTTAAGCACATTATGTTATATTACTCGACTTGTGCAAAAACGATTTAATGAACTTGCCTATGCCTTGCTTTGACAAACATCAAGTATTTAATATTTTAAATTGTATGACGATTATGAATATTGTTTCCAAAACAAAATACTTGCTTCATTCAAAACTCTGCTTAGGTTTACTTAGTTAAGAATATCACATAAGCAAAGAGATAAATAATAAACATGAAACTAAAATGCAGTTTTTTTTTTAATTAATTGGACACTGTACAATATTCACAAACTGAACTCAGATTGTTCAGATCATTAAAATTAGATTGTCCTTTAGATAAGTTTATTAAACACATGAGATCAAACTTTACAGACAAAAGATGGAAAAATAAATTGAAATTAAGGTATTCTCCCAATAGCTGATCTATCTTACTTAACTGTCTAGTTACTCAACAGGTTGATAGGTGACGTCACTAAAATTGTTGTTTTTATGCATTTTTTTCTTCCAGTTATTGCATTTGCTTCTTATTTCAACTCTTTGAAATGCAAACATGAAAAACATTTCTATTTGAGAGTAAATTGATAACAAAGCTTTGAAGACAGCATTTTAAAAACTATTTGCAAATTCAATGGAAAAATTGCATGCGAAAGAAATGATAACAACAAACATCACTTTTACAAACAAATTAGTTCGAAAAAGAGGTGGCGCCACCTAGTATAAAACTGATGAAATTCGGTAGATCACCAGTTGGGGCAATGCGGGAATTAATTTTAATAGTCTTAAGAACTGAAAATTTTTTACACATCGTACAAGATAATTTTTAAAATATACCAGGACTGAACACGTAAGTTAGAACTTATCATATCCCATCACCTCGAAGATGTCGTGAAGCTGAAAAGAAAAAAAATACAGATATATAATATATATGTATAGTTAAGTCAACTCAGCAATACGTACAGAAATTATCAGTTAATAAAAACTGTAGAAGTTCAATAAATGATATTAGCTACATTATTTTCAATCTTTATTAATATTCCCCCCCAGTAAATTATTGTTTTCAACTGTCATCTCAGATGCAATACAGTAAGCTTTTTAGAATCACTTCTGTTGCAAACATTTATGCGTTTCTAAATGGCTGAGTTTAATAAACGACAATTTCAGCATTATAAATAGTGATACCAGCAGTAAATTTATCTCGTAAAACAGTACCCAATAATTAATTTAAAAATACATATAATAAATTAAATTATTAACACCTTTATGAAATTTATTTTTCAATTATTTTTTGAAAAATGATAATTGAACACTTTGTAACAGAACTGTCTGGATGTAACCAAACTGTTTTATTGAACGTCATCTAGTGGCAACAAGAACAACTTACAGCAATTCATCTTCAACTGCAATGAGGATAAGTCTTCCAAAATTATGTCTCCGTGACTCGAATGTTAAGTACTCTGTTTTAGTTTGTGTTTTGTTTTGATGTACATTTTTTTTGTAACCGCTTCTGTGCTCTGTTAATAAATAATTTTAGAGCTAGCCGGAGTCAGAACTATTTGGTTGGAAATGAACTATTGTAGCAAATTACAGCTAGTAGCGATGAGAACAACTTAAGCAATCGACCTCCAGTGGTGATGAGGATAGGTTCTCGAATATTATGTCTTTGACTCGAATGTTAATTCTAAATGTTAGGTGTTTGGCTTTGGTGTAGATTTTCTTTGTAATTGTTCCTATGCTCTATTAATAAATACTTTTAGAGTTAGCTGGCATTTGTGTTTATAGGAAAACGGTTACAACCTGAAAAAATTTTTGAAAACTTACTTATTCTTGTTTGTTTTGTAGTACTCATCAGTAGTTCTTCAACTGCAGTCTCAGGTTCGTGAAAATGCTAATAGGTTCTGATCAGTACTTTTCAATTCAATTGTTCTTACAATTTCCAGTGGTTTTCTAGATGAAGTTGGCATTTCACTTTCTACAGTTCTTTCTAAAAGTTTCTATAATATCCTGTTATAATATAACATAATATCTTTGAATATGTTGTCTCAATATTTCTCTCAAATGCAAAGTATTCTACAAACAAATCTTTCTAACTTTCTGCACTGAAGTGTAAAACATTGGCTATAGCTTGCTATTCTTCTGAGGTTTCTTCTAAATAAAAAAACCACATTTTCGAAACCAATCTTTCAATTGTGTGCTGAGAGATCCATGCTTTGACTACAATATGCACAGCCTCTATCAAAGATATCAATTTTTCATAACTAATACTTTTCACAAGATGCAATTTTGCTTACTGCTTTTCATCCATGAGTTCTTATTGCTATGACGAATTAGGGGTAAATTCCAAGTTTTTCTGCTTTTCCCAATACCCAGCTATGTTTCCTGAATTGTTGTATCTATATTTTATTCTAATACAATAGACACCGCTTAATGTGACCGTGGGTAATGTTATCAAATGGATATTGTTATTCCATTGCCAAAGTCCCACCTGTCTGTATGTGGCAATGTATTGCTTACTGCTATAAATAAATTGGTTAATGTTATCAAAATATTATAAAATGACTTTTTTAAAGTGAAGTAAATTCGACATATAATGTCAAAATAAATTTTTTAAATTGCACGACTCAGAAAAGTCACCATGTGAAGGATTACATTCCCAAATTGATAGATTTTCAGTTTAGTCAACCATTTTAGGCAAAATAATAGCCTTTTGAATCATTTGCTGCCAGAGTTTGACTAACTCTTGATTTTGAGAGGGATCAAACATTGGTCTCTCTTCTATAGGAATGAAAGAATTTTTGGCATATTCATTTTTTCTCACGAAAATATCTATAATTTAGATTGGCATGTTCTCTTCCAGTTTGATTAAGTCAATGATGTAAAAAGTAAACCGTTTCCGAAGTTTTACGAAGATCTGTTAGACTAAAAAGTTTAATAAATCTTGAATTCTAGATAAACTTGCTCATACGGGCTAAAATTTCTTTTCGCTGTATATCAAGCTTTACAATTTAATCACTGTTCTTTCCTAGCAAGGGGTCATTTTTCGTTCTGTTTAGTCATTATTATCATTCTTAATAACATTTACTCTTTTTAAACATTTTAAAAATATAGAGCCTAGTAAAAGGCATAATGATATGAATCTATGGATTATTAGACCGCTGTGACCTATTTCCTAAAACTAGACAACAGAATGCTGCAATTAAATGCTTCACAACTCCTTCAGAAGCTATAAAGGTTTTGTTCACAAATAAAGGAAAATCGAAATAAAAACTGAAGCTAATGAGTAGTGGGGTTGGTTACATTGCTGGAAAAGCACTGAAGGTTTGGCTTAAACAGGTTCATGAAAAAGATGCAACATCCTACAGATTTGTACACAAAAAGCTAAAAAATTACTTGGAAAAAAGGGGAAATACGATTTTCTAGCAATCTAAAGTTGCTTTTAGCTGGTGGAAGAAAATATTGTTTACAAACATATTAACAGCAAAGAAAAAAATGCTGATTTAACTGCTGAAAGAACATGTTGTCAAATTAATATCGTACATGTCAACAACTACTAAACACATTTTTGAAATGTCTACAAAGTCAACAACTACTAAACACATTTTCGAGAAAATACGCAAATTTTATGAAAAGATTCCACAAATTACAAACCCAAATATAGTTGGTTTCAATAAGCGAAAACTAAAGATAGTGAAAAAAAATTTCAACTGAATTAAAATTCGACATGGGCCAAGAAAGTGAACTGAAATGAAAATTCGAGAAGATTCATTCATCGAACTCAAAATTCAACTAATGCAAAGGAAAGCTAAAAATTACATTGCGCAATTCTACATTCTGTTTTTCAGTTCGACTAATCGAAATTCTACAGCATCAGGGGCAGTGCAGCTACACAATATAACGTATAGCTTAGGGCACCCCCCCCCAAAAAAAATTGAAATACAGTATATAGTATTTCAGACTTATACCGGGCCCCATATCTCAAATAGCTTAGGGCCTTATCAAGTCTAAATCCGGCTATGATTAGGGGTATTGTAAAATTTCATGTAATTTGGTTGCAATATTTATTTACGTAACTTTTCCAAATAACATTTGATGTAATCCAGTTGACATACACTTTTCAAAAATATTTCAATCTCATCTTTATGCTGAAAAAAAAAAAAGATGAATGAAATGAATCATACATATTCAAAAAAATCCATGCCTTCACTAGTCGCAGAAGTATCTGCTGACGAGACTAACAAATTTTCATCACTAGAAGAAACACCTTTCATAGATGATGGTTTAGATATATCCTCAGAAGTAGAATGAGTAGCTAAATCCGAAAATACAGCATTTTTTACAAACGTCGTACACGTATCTTTTGAATTTTCACTACATAGACTACCTACATTTGCTTCTGAAAATTTAGGTAATGAGTGTTTACCATCATCAGCAGAACCATCTAATATTTTAAAAAGAAAATCAAATAAATTTTAAAAAATTTCCATTGAATATTACATACAAATATCAAATACACACATACATAACAAAATTGAACACAGAAAACAAAATATTTAAAAAGCAAATATATAGAATCATTAGGTTATATCGATGTAAGAGCGTGACAAATTTACAGTGTCCATGTGGGGATTCGAAGTCCGGACATCCAGAATATGCGACCAGCTTGCTACCAGTTTGTTAAGTTTAGGATTGTGTATCCATAGACCGCCAATAGATGGCGGTAGTGTTTGTTTGTAAAAAGAAACTGTGATGTCAATTTTGTATATGTATCAGTTCGTCTTTGGTGTTCATGAATAAATGTTGTGTGGAAGAACGCTCCTCTGTTTATTACTTTAACTGCGATCCAGTCTGATTTATATTAGAGATTTACACATATTTTGTTTACAGTTAACACTGCGAAAGCATGAGGAAAGGAAAGAGAAACTACCTTACATACTCTCCCCTTTTATAGGCGAATTGGGGATAAACAAAACCTAATCACCAAATCCTGAGTTGGTGATGAATTATCCTACCTTTCTGCTTTGAGTGCCATTATAAAATCTTTTAGAATTTTTTTATGTCAGGAAACTGAAAAAATCTTCAATGCTTTCGCCGGGATTCGAACTCTGGACCTTCTGAATACGCGTGAAGCATACTACCAGTTACACATGAGGAAAGAGGGAGTATATAAACAGTTAGTTAATTTCTTAAACCAGAATCCTAACAGTTTCTTAAATTCTTCAGATCTTTATTAATAAGAGCTTAATATTCGAAGATTTAAGTGAATTTGAAAATGTGTTGAAAAAAAATTCACAGTTTCTTCTAAAAGTATTTATATTTATTATTACTTCTAAAAATATTTATATTTATTATTACTTCTAAAAATATTTACATCTGTTGCAAATAACTTTCTGGAGATAAACATTAGCGGCAGTTCTTAAGCCTTACGCGAGTCGGCAAATTAGTTCGCAAAAATGGAAGCTGCATAGATATCAGTTCAGCCATTATATGCAGAAAAAATGATTGCCCTATTTGGAAATATCGAATTAAGTTCGTATCAAATTATCACGAAAACTCTTTAGAAGTCGTGGAAGGAAAATTGAAGAAGCCAGTGGAGCCTGATCATGTGGCCGCCGAAGAGATTCAGAGATGACATAAAGGTTTTTAATAAAGCCAATAATTGCGCTATGATGGTTCTTATGAACTCCATGACTGAAGATACTTTACAAAAAGTAATGAGATTTGGCAGCGCAAAAGACATTTGGCTGGAACTTCACAAAGTATTCGAAGATTCGTCCGATAACCAACTTTATAACATATGTTTACAGTACTTTAAAATCAGTTGGTCAAATGATGATAATGACAGCTCATTTATCAAAATTGAAGAATTTATGAATGAACTGAATAGTGGACTTGAAAAAATGAAAGACAGACTGCCAGAAATGCTGTTGATTTGTTAAAATATTGGATACGCTTCCTCCCAGTTATCGTACTTTCAAATCGAGTTGGTTACTTCCTTACTGATGAAAAGAGAACTTTAGATGAATTAATCACACACAGTGCTTAAATTGCGCCGGAGCTCGTGTCCAGTACTTCTCAATTTTTAAGATAAATTACAATTCTAGCCAGAGCGCACCGAAGCCCTAAATAAAATAAGCTCTGGTACCTATTTTTATAAAACTGAGCCACAATTCCAAGGGAAAAAAATTTAGAATTCCTAACGTTTTAGTTTAACAATAAGCAGATCTTACAATACTCTATTTCCCTAGAAATACGAGCTCATGAGAACATGAGACGTTCAACCAAAGTCCCCTCAGTCACATGCGGAAACCTTTTCCTTTAAGAAAGGCAATAAATTTGGGGGAGTTTGTTTAGGAACGCGTAAAGTTTTCGCCATGCCATCGTATCTAGTGTATTGTTACACGGCCAAACTGGAAGACACAAAAGTAAATTCACGAAGGTCACGATTGTTATCGATGGTTACAGTTAGTTATCCTCGCAGGAAGGAAAATTTGTGTTCTTAAATGTGCGTTAAGTGACAGCGAGTACAATAAGAGTGAAATACTGAGATAAACTGCTCAAGCACGTCCTATACATCATCTTCCTACAGTATCCACTAACGTAACCAAATACGGGGTCGAAAAGCATAACCAGCAACTTTGCATTCATCCTTAACAGTCAGATTCAGAACTCGTTTTACCCCGACACACATCTGCTTGATGGCTCTAATTATATCGGTAAAGAGCCGCGGTCAAAGAGAATGTTCTCTCTCACCAAGATTCCCTTCATTTTTTTGTTTCCACCCACTCATACCTTCACGCCTTTATTCAGTTTCGCACTCTTTTTAGCATTATCTGAATTTTCATCAGCTATATTTATTTAATTTTTGTGATGATAAAAGAACTTTTTCCCCCCCTACGATCGGAGCTTAAATTGCACCGGAGCTTACTGGATCCCGGCTCCGATGCTTCTTAGTTTTTTAATAAATCATAATTCTCATTGGAGCCCTAAATAAGAAGGTTGTGGTA